TTCGTTTCACGTCCAGCGTTACTTTTCTGTGTCTACTGTTTTGTGATGGTCATCATTGTTGTCTTAAACATCAGCTCGTTAGAAGTCTTTCTACCTCTAAGTGCATACAGTTACTGAAATAGATAGTTTTTGTTGTCTGTTTGCACTGAATCTGTATAAACTTTCAAATATAGGATATTGTAATATTCGACCGTTTCACATTCTAATTATTCGTTTATTTAGATCACTCGCGTTGTTTTAATCTTAGGTGCTAACGACGTTGCTTTTTAAACCTTTGTCAGTGTTTGCGAACAAGCAAACTGACAAATTCTTGACCTTAATTTGATTATATGTCTGTTTTAGGTCATCAACTTCTTCCAAAATGATAAATACTTTCAAGTCATAATGGAAAAGCATGGGTCTGGAATGGATTTATTCGAGTTCATCGACCGAGAGCCAGACATGGATGAAGCTCTTGCTAGTTACATCTTTCGACAAGTAATTGTGTTGTTTTATTAGCTGCAGTTTTCTCTCCAATGATTTTTTACAGATAGTGGACGCTGTGGCGTATCTGCATGAGTTAAATATACTGCATCGCGACATCAAGGATGAAAATATACTCATAAATCACAAATTTCACTGCAAGCTGATCGATTTTGGTGCTGCCACTTTCTTTGATCCAGATAAGCTATCCACGAGATTCTGTGGCACCCTTGAGTACTGCAGTCCTGAGATACTATCCGGTCATAAGTATTTAGACAGGCCGTTAAAGTTCTTACCTAATGCCTTGCTTTATATTAGGTATCGTGGCGAAGAGCAGGAAATGTGGTCGCTTGGTATTCTGTTGTTCACGTTGGTGTTTTTCGACTGTCCTTTTCGAAGTGCTGAACAAGTGCTAAAGGGTGATTTCTGGTTTCCGCGCGATGTTTCTGAAGGTGCGTTAATGCTCATTTCTGTCATGTTTATGCTTTGATTCTTCAATGTTTTTTATTTCGTTTCCAGGTCTTTATAATCTGATTTTGTCTCTTCTCAATCCAGTCCCTAGGTATCGATCCAAAATCTCTGATGTTAGGCAGCACTGGTGGATCAATCAGAAAGTTGATTTGACTCGTTATGTTTTCGAAAACGTGGTTCCAATCAAAAGTAATTTTTAACGTATTACAGTATAAATTTCGACGGAATGTTTGTTTTCTAAAACCTGATTTGTATATATGATATATTCTTACGAGTTCTTAATGTCATGCCGTAAACTACGCTAAGAACGGTTAGGCAAAAATTTTGAGCTCTTTTGGGTGTGACTGGAAATGAAGCTATGTGCTTTAGTTTTCTTCAGAAAACAACGTTTTCGTGACTTATTAATATCTGCTACCATTGAAACTGCTTAATGTTTTATTTTGCAGATACACTAGTAGTTTTTGTTACTGTCAGAGCACAGTTAGTTGTCTGCATTATGTTCCTTTTTCATAGCTTGTTCTCTTTCTAAATACGCAGCACTCCGCTTTTTCGCTAGAAGCGAATGAATGCTTTTAGATCGTCATTGCGATGCAGTGCACCCTAATGCGCAGTTTTTAAACACCTTATTGTGCTTTAAGCTTGAAATTAAGCAGTGCTAAAAATTAAGCAGTCCTTAAAACAACCAGTGATACAAGTCTTATCAGTCTTCTGACGAACTATGAAGCGGCGGTTTCCAGCTTTTCACAGGCTAGACATATGTTTTCTGCAAATTCGTATTGTCATTGGCCGTAAAAACTCATTTTCAAAGCAATCTGAAATTGTACACAAATAGGCGTTTATATGTACAAAAAATATTTTCATAATTTGCTAGAAAATCTGCAGTCATATTTCAAAGTGTTATACAGTTAGTTTATTCTGAAATTATCCTATGTCACTTTTCTGTAACTTTGAAGGAAATTGCAATTAAAATGTTTAAACGGATTTTTCTGTATTTCGACCTTTAAACTGTACTGGTTGTGAGCGCCTATTGCTTACGTAATTTAGATGAATACTTTTTAGGTTGTAGTGAAATACAGCCGCCGATGTATTTGCGCGACTGGTTGGAATTGAACGTTTTCAGTGCTTAGCTCTATCGCCGGAATTATGTTACCACTCGTTCAACGTATCGTTTATTGTTTCGAATTTATCCTTCATTTATGGCTAATTGTTGCTGTTTTCTGTGATATTCTTAGCATGCTGCTGGCCAGTTTTTAGCCGTGTTTGTAAAATTAAACGTTTTACATGTTGTGCTGTTTCTTTTAAACACGTCCTCTTTTGGTACTGATTTTTTACACTGTCATAAGTGTTTTGCTAACTATGCAAAAAAAATCGTCCTTAGACCACCATGCCAAAAGGAAAGGTTGCCAAGACCGGTCAGAGTAAAAGGGATGAGTCCACTTCCGGTCCATCGGTTGCTTCCAAACCTAAATCTAACAAAGGTGGGAATGCGGTTAAGGTAATTTTCTATCGTTTATTCTGTTGCTTTTATCCTGTCGTTATGTTCAGTATTTTTGGGAATTTTCTCATTCATAATTTCATATTCGCTTCGTAAATGCAGACTGAAGTACTTTCCTTAACATCCGCCTGCTTTCTCTTCAAAATGTTGATTATACTGTCCCGCAAAAGTTTTTTAATTACGTTGTACGCTTAGTCGATTTGCTTTAAACTCATTTTTAAAGTATTCACTTTCACAATTTTTTGGTGGAAACGAAATACACACCTTGTTTAAGGCTTACTGATTTAATTATGGTTTAAAGCATGACTAATTCAAGTGTTTTTTTCTAATGATTTCGCTTTTCCATTCTGCGCTGATAGGCATTTCGCTTGAATCACAGGTGAATCACTTTCTTTTGTTGTATTCGAACTTTGTGCAGTTTAGTGCTCTTTATGACAGTAATTGTAAAGTCGTTAAATGCCCGTAAAATTTCGAATGTTGTGCGTACTCCTGTATAATGCGCATGTTTGATTTCGGCCAAAAGCTTCTGGTAATATGAAAATTCGCATATAATGCGCACCCATGACTTTTCAAAATTTATTTTGAATTGCATAGAACATTTGTTAGCAAAACTTAAACTTTTAATAAAAACAAGAAATACATAACACCTTAATATTGCTGGTAAATTAATAAAAAACGCCATCACTGTCAGTAATATGAAGTTCATCCCGTTCTGTCTAGTCAGTACCACTGTTGTTAGTACCGTCATCAATATCGCATCGTCATCATCTGGTGATACCTGTTTCCTCGTTGCCAGTAAAATTGTTGGAAATATGTTTGATGAAGCCTTGTTGAATTATAGATGTATCTCATTCATTCCAAGCCGCAACTAGCCACTGGCCAACATTCTTACAACTAGCCACTGGCCAACAAATTCTAACCAATCAGTGGTTAGTGCTTCATCCATCCATCCTTTAGCATGAACATGATGCATACACGACTTAGAAATTGTACTCACTTTGGTAGTTGTAAAAATTATGAAAAGCGGCAACTTTCCTCCGTCTGTTATGCATAATAACAGAACGGTGAAGTGAGACTTCTCGTGTCCAGTTATGCATAGAGAGAGTTTTTATGCCTTTTGCGTCTACAATCCTGTCATAGGACATCAAAAGTCAGGGTCATTTGATCTGCGTTTCCAGTCTGTACAAGGTTACTGATGTTTCTCAATTTGATCGAATTTTCAGAATTCTGGAGGCTTTTCGTCGTGATCATCTGGAATATGCTGCGCAGTGGTAGTTATACCAACTGAAAGACCACGTCGTTTCGTAATAAAAGCAGCTCATCCATATGCTCTTTTAAATTCTGTTGTGCCCGTAAGAGAATTTTTAAGTTTCATAGCTTTAGGCTGATTTCATTGCATCAAACACTGATGCCCTGTTGTCGCCTATATACTACCCACTTTGAGAATGTTTTTCTAGGTCTGGTAAACTTGGTGCTAACCCACATTTCGCTTTTTTTCTTACTATGCAGCACTTGCAACGCCTCTGTTTTTCACCATAATCGGGTTTCACTCGTTAATGGACTTGCTACTCAATTGCCGTCAAATTCTGCATATTTTACTACTAACAGTTTCTCTGCCGCAATGTAACATTTCCTCGCATTGATTTTTATGGCTTCACATAATGACTTCACTTATAATAATAATTCTCAACCAAACTAAATATCGAAACAAATGAAATTCATCGCGTAACTTTAAACTGGAGGATGTTTACTGAAGTAAGGCTATTTTTGTTTAGGTATAGGCGGGTTTTGCCGGGCTTAGTAGAGCTCCCTACTACTCGAAAGAACAAGAGGACGGGACGCGGTCACGGAGCGCTGTTGCCAAGAGTGTGAAATGCGTCTTGCAACAATGTCTCACAGCTGTACGTGCTCTTGTTCAATATTGAAAATGACGTATTTTTGGTACACGACTATAAGGCGCACCCCCGTTTTAGAGGGCTAAAATGAGTAAAAATTGTGCATTTTATACTCGAGATTTTACGGGTGTTCATTTTAATAAAGTTGCGAACTTTAAGTGCTGCTTCTGTTTCTACAGATGGGCACTGTTTAAATTTCTTAATTTCAGCTTTTGTTTGTGAAAGTTTAAGATTATGTTTCAATGGCTTTCATTTCTATACAATTCTCATAGCAGATACTCAGACCGTTGAGAAATAAATTTTGAATTGGACGGTCCGCAGCTAACAACAAGCTTGTAAGTCACGTAAATTTTAAAAATGTTAACTTTTGGAGCAGTGTCTAGTATTGCGGTTACTTATGCATTTTAAAAATGGGTAGTGCAGGGTTTTCCTTGCTGTAGTTAAATTTTTTGATAATAACGGATATTATAAAACATTATTTTCGATAATTAATTAGGTTCATATTATTCAGGTTAGGCATATTCTTTGTGAAAAGCAGTCGAAAGTACTTGAAGCGCTTGAAAAACTAAAGAGCGGGGCGAAATTTAACGAAGTTGCCTCTCAGTACAGCGAAGACAAAGCGCGACAAGGCGTATGTGATTGCTTTTATAATTTATATATATTTGAGTTATGTAGGGTGACTTGGGATGGATGACCCGAGGTTCCATGGTCGGTGCGTTTCAGGATGCAGCGTTTGCGCTGCCTATTAGCACCATTGACAAGCCTAACTACACCGACCCTCCAGTGAAGACTCAATTCGGCTATCACATTATCATGATCGAAGGCAAAAAATAGATATTTTGCATGCAATTTACTACAAGTAACAAAATCGTTATGGAAAAATTTTACTTTTCATGTTTTCGACCA